ACGAAGTCTTACCATCCTTCTTTCTTTTTTTTTAAAAAATCCTTTTATTGGGGGCTCGTACAACTCTTCTCACCATCCATCCATCCATCCATCCATCCATCCATCCATCCATCCATCCATCCATCCATCCATCCATCCATCCATCCATTGTGTCAAGCACACTTGTACATTTGTTGCCAACATCATTCTCAAAACACTTTCTTTCCACTTGAGCCCTTGGTATCAGCTCCTCATTTCCCCCCTCCTTCCCCACCCCCCACCATCCTTGTTTCTAAGGATCATTTTGGCTGTCCTTCCTTCAAGTTAGGTTTGCCGATTCTTCTAGCAGCCTATGTTAATTTCAATAATCTTTACCAATACCATAATTCAAATGCATCCTTTCTTCCCTTGCCTTCCTTACCCATTGTCAAACTTTAACATGCATATAAGGTGACTGAAAATACCCGGGCTTGGGGCACATGCAGCTTAGTCCTCAAAGTGACATGTGAGCTTTGAGGCAGGTTGGTCCAATGCAATACATGGTTTAAAACAATAATTTAGCTTAATTAGTAAAGCGCATCTGCCTTGAACATTAAAATAACTATCTATATGGGGTCAAATTGACAGTAAAACCAAACTCACTGCCATCAAGTTGATTACTCAACTCGTAGCGTTTGCTGGAGTCCAAAGCCTCATCTTTCCTCTGCAGAGCAGGGGTTGGTTTCAAACTGTTAACCATGGAGTTTGCAGCTCAACATGTAACCACTATACCATGAGGGCTTCTCCAAATAGACAATAGCAACTTGAGACATTAGAAGGAAGTTTAGGGAGACACGAGTTTCTGTTAATGGTAGTGGAATAATTAGAAGGGAGGTTGGAATGGTCGCACAATTGAGGAAAGTCATCGGTGTCACTAAATTAGACACAGAAATGTGCTGAGTTTCTGTATTGTTTAGCACGGGTATTTTCACCACCACCACCAAAATAAAATAAATTGTATATATAATATTCTCTATATATAGACTATGTTCTATATATATGTAATTGATGGCATTACGATTGATCTAGGGGCTGTATTCCCATTGCACAGAAAAATGTCTAGCACAAAATAGGTGCTCGGCATGTATTTGTCGAGTACATTTGTCATGGCAAAAAGTAAATACACCTTCTTGTTGTTGTTAGGCGCTGTCCAGTTGGTCCTGGCTCATAGCGATCTTGTGTACACAGAGCGGTCCTGTGCCATTCTCACAATTGTTCTTGCTTGAGCTCATTCTTGCAACCACTGGGTCGATCCATCTTGCTGAGGGCTTTCCTTTTTTCCCCCGCTGCCCCTCCACTTTATTACCAAGCATGATGTCCTTCTCCAGGGACTGGCCTCTCCTGATGACATGTCCAAAGTACATGACACCAAGTTTTGCCATCCTTCCATCAAAGGAACATTTTGGCTGTACATATTCCCAGACAGATTTATTTGTTGGCTTTTTTGGCAGTTCATGGGACTTCCAATCGTCTCGCCAGCATCATAGTTCAAATGCACAGATTATCTTTCATCAGTCTTCCTTATGCAACATCCAACTTTCACGGGCATATGAGGCGATTGAAAATACCAGGCCTTGGATCAGGCTTACCTTAGTCTTCAAAAACACCCTTGCTTTTCAACACTGAAAGAGGTGTCACCTAATGTAATTCGTACTTTGATCTCTTGACTGCTGCTTCCAGGGGCATTGATTGTGGATCCAAAGGAAATGAAATCCTGGACAACGTCAGTATTTTCTTTTCTATTATAATATTACCTATTGGCCCAGTTGTGAGGATGCTGGTCTTCTTTGCATTGAGTCGTCATCCATATTGAAGTCTGCAATCCTTCATCTTCATCAGCAAGTGTCTTCCTCACTTCGGGCAAGCAAGGTTGTGTCCTCTGTACATTGCAGGCTGTTAAAGCCTTCCTCCAATCCTGATGCCGAATCCTTCTTATCAGAATATAGCCGCTCCGATTATTTGCTCAGCATATAGATTGGATAAGTATGGCAAGAGGACACAAGTCTGATGGATATCTTTCCTGATTTTTTAAAAATTTAATTTTATTTTATTTTATCTTTCCTGATTTTAAACCATGCATTATTCCCTTGTTCTGTTTGCACAGTTACCTCTTGATCCATGTACAGGTTCCACACGAGCACAATGAAGTGTTCTGGGATTCCCATTCTTCCCAAGGCGATCCATAGTTTATTGTGATCTACTCCGTCAAACATCTTTCTGCTATTCTCAGCTTTCAGATACCTAATAGTGAGGTCTAGGTTAAATAAATTATATCTACTTAAGAGAATATGCAGTCATCTAAAGTTATGCTTTTGAGGATAATCACCACACAGCATCGTGTAATTATAGCAGGATACAACATTACAGGCACATTATGGTTCTACCTGTCAGAACAGTTGGCTAGGAAAAGAGAGGGGTCAAACCATCATAGAGCTTTTATTATGATTATGGATGATCTTCTTTTCCTTATTCTATGAGGTCTTTATTGTCACTAAATTCCTTTTGTAACAATAAAAAGGTTGTACGCATTGGTTGTGAAAAGGTAGAAATGCTGAAAAGTATCAACAAGAAAATAACTTGTAATCTTAGCAGCCATAGGGAATCACTGCCAATAGAAGTAGTTTCTATGTGGTTTCTCACTTTCCCCCACTTATTCTTACTTTTTGGCATCTTTCACTCACTGCCACTGAGTTGATGCCAACTCATAGCTACCCTACAGGATAGGGTAGAACTTCCCCGGTGGGTTTCTGAGACTATAACTCTCTCTCTCTCTCTTTTTTTTTTTTTTTGCACACGTGCCCACCCGCCCAACCACCTCCTTCCCCTACTATAACTCTTTACAGGAGTAGAAGTTGCCTTTTTGATAGCTGTGTAATTTCAACGTACCATATACTCTATTTAACAGAAGCCCTAGTAGGTGGCATAGTGGGTTACGTGTTGGGCTGCTAACCACAAGGTTGGATGTTCAAAACCACTCACAGCTCCTAGGGAGAAAAATGAGGCTTTCTACTCCTTAATGAATTACAGTCTTGGAAACCCACAAGAAGCAGTTCTACCCTCTCCTATAGGGTCACTATGAGTCGGAATCGACTCGATGGTAGTGAATTTGGTTGGTTATAATCTATTTACCTTTATAGTTTGTTTGCAATTTTTCATTGAAAAAATTAAGCAAAATAAATAGAGTCAGATAGCATGACTCAAATCCAATCTTCAGAGAAATTGAGGGGAAGCTGGCCAAAGAGGTCGGGTGGGGTGGGTGTTTAGCCGAACGGAGGCTGCAGGCAGACGTAGCCCGGCGTGTCTGTGAGATGCTCTGCGAGTGGACAGCGACACCTCCTTCCAGTGTTAAACATGGTGGAATCTTGACCTAGGAGGCAGAGATGCAGACTGATGGCCCTCTTTTGTCCTGCTCCAGCAAAGAACGACATGCCTGTGCCCAGTTCTTGTCCTGCAAAGGTTTCTCTGAGCCATTAACCCAGTGGGGCTACTACACCCCGCCCCGCCCGACCCTCCCCCTCTGAGAGACCAATGGACTGTGCAAGAGCGGGGTACGGATGGGAGTGGGAATTTGGACGTTTACAGAGTCAGGGGGCGTTCGCAGGTGGGGCCGACTTGGCACTGTGGGCTGCACTAAGGAATGGGGTCGACGGATTCAGGATCCAGAGAGGGAGCGATGGGGAAATGGAGCGGGCTGGCCATTTAGAGGGCGCAGGGTCAATCCTGGAAGGCTGTGGGTGGCTAAGAGGGACAGAGGCGAGGCGGCAGGAACAGACAGATGGAGCGGTGGTGAGGGCTTTCCAAGCAGGGGCGATGTGAGCTGGTGGTAGGCGGGCAGGGCGCGGCCAGGGTGCCCCGAGTGTGCCCGGAAAACGAACGAGAAGAGCGGAGGGAACCGGCTGGTAAGAGCAGAGGTGGGCGTGCAGCCTGGGGCTCCGGTGAAGACAGCAGGGATGCGGAACACCGCGCACGTTAGACAATTTCCTGCTAGAATCTTCTCCCGGGGTGGAAGAAAGCCGGGTTCGCAGAAAGCTGGGGGCGCGGGCGGCGC